AATGAACGAAGGGGTGGCACAGTGTGGCTTAAATGGGGGTGAGGAGGAGTCCGCGATCCGCTGGCCAAGAGCAGAGGCAGGGCACCTGACTGCAGCATCTTGTAGGAAATGCTGTTGCCATTGGGCGAGTTACTTAACCTCTCTGTGTCTGTATATTCTCCTCTATAAAACAGGTAACACCGGGGTTATTGGGAGGATTCAGTTAGCTAACTAACCTGTATGGAATGAGGAGAACACGGCCTGTCAAACGTTTGTTGTACTCAGTCAGCGTTTGCTGTTTTTTTCGTACTGTTTTCCACGCAGCCCCTGATCTGCGGCTCCAGCCCAGCGCAGGCTCAGTTACCGGCTGCTTGTCCAGTACTCAGTGCTCCGGAAGCAGGGTCCCTCGGGGGCCTGAGCTGATGTCTCTGGCTAACCATAGATCCGGTCAGGTTTTCCGCAGAGCTGTGCTGTGGTTTGCAGGGGACGTTCCTGACCAGACACTGGGCAGGAAGCCCATCGTTGGCCTGACACTTCTGAAAAGCAAAGCAGGACCCCCTTTGCGAGCTGTGGAGTCATTGGCGCTGGGGGAGTTTGGCTTCTGCATCTTGTCCCAGGTCCCAGGCATCACCTGCTTCTGGTGGCAACGGGCCTGGGTGTGTCCTGTGGTCCGGGAACTACAGCGTCAGCTTCTCCTGGATGCCACCAACAAATGCAGAGTCTCAGGCCTGCCCCAGACACCTGAGTCGGAATCTGCGTTTTTCCAGTGTCAGCAGGTGGTTCACATGTATGTTCTAGTGTGAGCAGTGCTGGTTTGGAGCAGGACAAACAGCTGCCCAAGGGCCAAAGCCTGTTCTCATCAATAAAGTTTTGTTGGCACACAGCCGCACCCATTTGTTTACAGTGTGGCTGCTTCCACGAGCTAAGCAGTTGTGACCGACTGAGGAGCAATGGCCTGAAAGGGTTTACCAGCTGGGCCTTGTATTATATAGACAGAGTTTTCCGGCTCCTGATCTAAAGCGCTGGTTCTCACGCCTGGCTGCCTATTGGAATAACCTGGGAATTTAAACCCACTGATGCCTGGGTCTGACCCCGAGATTCAGATATGATTGGTATGAGTGGGGCCTGGGACAAGGACATCCCAGAGCTCCTGGGCGACCCCTGTGTGCAGCCATCGGGCTGTGAGAACCGTGGCTCTAAAGTGCCCGTGAAACCCAGCCAGTGATGCTCTGCAACCCATGGATGGGCCTGAGGTCCAGAGGGGGAGCCCCAGTGAGTGATGACTCCTTTTCTGCCCGAGGTTGGCTAAGGGCGTTGAACAAGACAGCGTTCGCAAGGCTCTCAGTGTGGTGCCGGGGACAGAGTGCCACTACTGTTGGTTTTTGTCATCTTCATTGTCACCCTCAGGACTTGAGACACGTCAGGAGCAGGTCCGTAGTGCGTGCACAGTGATGGACCTGTAGTGAGCGCTGCGGAAGTGTCAGCCTGTTCGGTGGGGCTTTTCAGTGGCAGGCAGACACCTGGCCTGGTGCCGGTGTAGACCCCTGGGGTCAGCCCTTGCAGTTAGTGCGGGGCCAGGAGGCGGGGGCCGGCTGCTGTTGGGGCCTCAGTGGGTGGGCAGCTGCATCTGCTGGCCGTGCTGGGGGCAGACAGTGGCCTGCTTTGTGGCTCAGGGATGAGATCCCAAGGGGCCTGGAGACCCCCAACAAGCCTAGACCCAAGGGACGGTGACAGATGCTTTGGGAGGGTGGCCTGGAGTCAGGCCCCCGTGGCCGCTGAGAGAAACAGTAAGCGCTTTGGAGCGAAGTGCAGCCCCGCAGGGGGTTCTGGGCGTAGGCACAGCTGAGGGCCATGTTGGGAGACGCCAAGCTCCCTGTGGTTGGAAAGTCCCTGCCTCCAGCCCTGGACACCGGGTTCCTGGGCACTGAGGGGCTGGTGAATGTGACAGGTGGAGACCCGCAGCCTCGCCAGGCGACCCACAGGGCAGGGACCCCTCCTCCGTTGGCCACGCCGTCTCCCCAGCCCGGGTCCTGGTCCCTGACTCCCATTCATCCTCTCTGCCCTCGTCAGGCAAACGTGGAGGGGAGCACATCGCATGGGAACAAACCGGAAAACCTTTTTGCCAGGCTCCGCCTGCTGGGCTGGCTTCAGAAGAGGCTTTGTCCGAGGCTCCCCAGAAAGGTTACGCCTCGGTGTTGGAGGGTTTCGGTGGTGGTGGCGGGTCAGGCCAGTTGAGGGCCACTGGCAACTTATCGGGAATCGGCAGACATGTGGTTGTTGGGGAGAGAGGCTGTTTCACGTCTGGCCGTTGCGCCCCTTCCTCGCCTCTTACACAATACAGGGGTCTTTTGGGGAGGAGGGCAGACCCGGAACAGGAGGTCCCAGGTGGATACTGCTGCAGCCGCGGGGAGCCATGATCTGTGCCCCAGCACCCACAGAATGTCCAGGACTGGCCTTGTGCTCAGCTGTTCCCTAAACTACAGCCCAGAGGGTCTAGAGAGTACGGTGTCGCAGCCCGAGGCAGCCTTGTGTGTTGATGGCGTGTGTTCCTGGTACAGAGGAAAGATGGGGGAGGGGAGCCCCCGTCCCCCGCCCTCTTCACATGCTTGGTTTTTTTCCCCCCTTGGCTCACAGCCATGCCCTAGTACACGCTGAAAGGCTTTTCGGCGAGTTTGTTTTCATTTCGTTTGGCTCAGCAGGACGGAAAGATGGTCTGGTTTGGCAGCTACCCGCAGGGCAGACTCTGGGGTGGTGAAGGGAATCTGTGTGCTTTAAAAGAAATCAGACAGGACAGAAAGGAAGTTGGGCAGCGTGCGGGAAAGAGCCGGCTGCTCCCACTTCCTCCCCCGTCGTGGTGAGGGCAGGGTCAGTGGTCCAGTGTGGTTGGGCCCGCAGGCCGGCCAGTGCCCGGCCTCACCTGCTTGCCGGCTTGGGAGGGGATGAGAGAAAGGCCTGAGGGAGGCAGCTGGCTTAGCCTCAATCTTCTTTGATCTCTCTGTAGCCTGGAACTGCCCTGGCCCCCTTCGGGGGTCCAGCCCTTGGCAGCAGAGTGGGCCCCATCATAGCCACAACCACCATCAACGGGCCGTGGAACGCGGAGACTGAGGCTTAGGGACGGGCAGGGGTGGCCCCCAGGGATGTGTGGGGGGGGGTGCCCTGACGCTCACTCTGCTCCCGCCTGAGGCCGACTAGGCCCCTCCCTCTGGTGTTCATGGCGTCTGTCCCACTAAACTACCCGTGCTAGATGCCAACTCTGTAAGGGTTTTCCCAGGTCAGCCCCTGGCTCAGGTGTAGGCACACTGAGTACCCCTGCTTT